CATGTATGAAACATATACAGCCAAAGACCTGAGGAGGAAGGGGAAAGTTTGGAAGAGTGGGACACAAAACAGAGAAAGGGGTTTTCATACCCAACACCTTAGATGGCATCCGATTTATCAGATATGATGCAGTAAGTACAGCTTGAGACCAGTATTGCTTGGGAACTTTGTGCTGGAATAGTAAGGCTCGAGATGTTTCCAATAGATGTCTATTCTTGCGCTCAACAACCTCATTCTGTTGAGGAGTATTAGCACAGGATGATTGATGTAATATGCCAGCATCTTCCATGAATAAGTTCAAGGATTTTTCAAAATATTCAGCAGCATTATCTGACCGGAATTGCTTAATCTTCTTATTACACTGCGTTCCAATCATCTTGCAAAATGCCATAGTTATCTATGGTACTTCATCCCGTCCTTTTAACAGGTAGATCCATGTGCATCGAGAGTAGTGGTCAATAAAACTGATAAAGTAACGGAAGCCATCAATAGAGACAATGGGTGAAGGACCCTAGACATCAGAATGAACCAAATCAAAAGGAGCACAAATTTCATTACTGGAAATTGGATAAACAGTTCTACATTGTTTTGACATTWGACATACTTCACAGATTAAACTCTGACTTGAAATGCCCTTAAACAATTCGGGAAACAACATTTCTAATGAAGAGAAAGACACATGACCTAGCCTAGCATGCCAAAGATGCAACCTAGCTATTGACTCCACACTCTCCGGACTACTAGCAGTAGATGCTTGTAAGGCTGAACCGATGTCTGCATCAAAATAGTAGAGGCCTCCATACTCATGACCTCTCCCAATCGTTCTCCTCGTCAATCTGTCCTAGAAGACACAATGAGTAGGAAAAAAGTTTATACTATAGTTCAAATTTTTTGTAAGTTTTGAAACAGACAAAAGCTTTGAGGTAAGATTGGGAACATGTAGAACTGATTTAAGGGAGAGATCCTTGCTTAGGTCAACCACCCCCTTTTCAGAGATGGTGGAAAAAGACCCATCAGCAACTCTCATCTTATCCTGACCAGACAACAAATGATATGAAGAGAATAGGGATGACATATGTGTCATGTGGTCAGTTGCACCGGAATCAATAACCCAAGAAGTGGAGTCAAAAGAGCTAGTGGCACTAAAGGTAGAGACTGCACCTGATTTGGCAAGAGAGGTGGAAGCAAAAGAATTATTCCTTAGACGGGCTAATGCCCGACTAAGGACCTCTACCTCACTAGCAGTGAAGCCCAAAGCACCAGTTCCAGAGGAATCAGCAATCTGCCCCATAGGAGAAGAAGACACTATTGGTGAGTTGTCACCATTGTTGCTGGTGACAAGATTCCCACTTGCCACATGACCCTTCTGTTGTTTCTTGTTCTTTCTTAATGCAATTGGCTTCAGGTGAGGATACAGGACCCAACACTTTTCTTTTACATGTCTCTCACCACCACAATGAGTGCACTTGAGGTGCTTCTTGTCTGGATGTCTGTTTCCCTTAGTAGAAACCAGGGCTGARTGTTCTCCAAATTGTTCAGTTGGTTGAGTCTGAGAGTCAACTTGCATCTCCTTTCTCCTAACTTCTTCATTCCTCACCAGATAATAAACATGGTGTAACTTGCATCTCCTTTCTCCTTTCTCTTCAATCTACTTATCATGTCTCTCCTTGTCCCTGGCATTTTCCCAATCTAATATTAAGTGATGGTCAAGTTCTTCCCAAAGACCTTCCAGAGTTGCAAAGTATGTTGCAACTTTCATATCACCTTGCCTTAAGGCAGCAATGTCTTGATTCAATTTGTAGATTCTAGCATTGTTTTTCTTCTGTCCATAGGTCTTAGACACCTTTTCCCAAATCTTGGCTGCTGTAGGAAAGTGATGAACAGTCTTGGCAACGCGAGGAGTCATAGAGGCAAGCAACCAGGACATAACTGTGGCATTCTCCTTGCGCCACACAGCATAATCTGCACTGCCAACCTCAGGTTCCT